ACAGTGTAAAAATCATATATGTTGAAGGACCTTGAGATCATCTTGTCACGATTTTTCAACTTCCTGAAGTATAAAGGCAGCTAAACCTTTGATAGCAATATCAGAGACCATCTTTACCTTGGGTGCACTAATGGGCTTTTTAATTTCAGACAGAAACTGTACTTGACTTGCTGATGGTGATGGTTCTCCTTGTAATACTACTCCTGGGGCACCAAAAATTGAAAAAAAAAAATTCCCTGAGCGAAAACTGTAGACTTAGGTCATTAGTGCACAGGTAAAAACAGTTTTGCTTTCACCTAGCCAAGGTATCAATAGTTTAATGGGATGGAGCTCTCCAGCCCTGCATCTTGCTCAGCCACAGGGATCTCTTTGCTTCTACCACTTGACATCTCCAGTCAGAGCTTTTACATTTTTCTGCAGCATTCTCAACTTCTTGCCATATTCCAGCTCCCAAAACACAACCTTAATTAATGCTCCATGTGGTTCAGCTGCTTTTCTGCTCTTTGCAACTTTTTCTACACTGAGGTGTTTTTCCTTTCGTAACTTTATTCTGTAGTGCTTTTCTGGGTTCATGTAACTGGTGGGAATGTCAAAGCAATACGTGGAGTTTTAAAGCAGAGTCCCTTGGTAGATATTTAAAAGCTATACTACGACAATTTGCTTTGCAACCCATGAAGTCAACCAGGACCTCAGAGAACAGCTTAGAATTTAAAGCAAATATAGGAACATTTCCATTAATTTTCCCCAAATACCTGTGCTCAGAGTAACTGCTTCTTCTGTCTTCCTCTTAACTGTCTTGTAGCAAAATCGGCAATTTTACAGACATGTCCTTATTTAGCCAACTAGCTTACAGAAACACAGCTTTCCATTGAAGACTAATTTAAAGTCTCAAGAACATGTCCTCAGCTGTTACAAAATTATATAAGTGCAATAGGCTCTGTCATTTTACATCAGCTGAGAATCTACTTGCAAGGGCAAAATAAGTAGCTGCAGCTGCAGTTCTCTTCCTTGGAAGTTGCCCCTCATACACAAATGATTGCAGGTGGATGAGAGTTGGTATTTAAAAAGGGCAAGTTTTTGTCTTTTTTTTTTTTCTTTAATATTTCTGGTAAAGTCATTCATGTGCTCTCTGATGGCTGCCCAGAGCCTGTAACCCACCATACTCCAGCTCAGAGGAAAGGATGTGGATGGACTTAGTTTGGAAAACAGATTACTAGATAATAAAACATTCTCTCTCATATCATAATATGTGGAAGAAGAAAGATAAAATTGAAAATGTGACCCCTTTTTTCTTCAAGTAATAGAGTACCATTCAACAGACTTAATTATCCCTAAAGACACATCTAATAATTGTTGGCCTGTCAATCAAAAACCTTATTAGACATGCGCATGACGTCACACTACAGTCTAACAAATCTTCCTGCCAGTCAAAAACCTTTATATAGATTAATCTAATTTCAGATACAAGTTTTGTGCTTGACCTTTTACCCAACCTTTTCAAGGCTGTGATTAGAGAGGAGTTGGATCTTTCCTGTGTGCTACTGAGCTGGAATGATGGACGCTGAGCTATCCCTGAGAGTTTCCCTCCTGGTAATGCTCTGCCTTATGCTGTAGCATGGAGCCTTGAAAAGGAGTATGCCTTGGGTGGCTGAGTGACCTGGGGTAGAATTGGTGGAAAGCAGATAATGACACTGCTGGCTACTGGACAACCACATGTTCCGTTGGGGTCTCCTAGAGTCACTTCTCTTTCCTTCCCACAACCCAGACAAACTTTGTTTCTCACCTTTACAAGCAGGAAGTGGTGTTGTAGGAAGGCAATTATTCCACGGCGCTTGACACCCTCTACACTGCTGAAGACTGGGAAAGGTAGTGCCTTCCTACTGGACATGGCTGGTAAATCAAAACTTGGATGCACAGCTCCATTACAAACCACTTATCTTGATGGTCATGAGATTGGCAGTTGGATATCGCATCTGAAGAAGCAATAAATTTATTAACAGATATTGCATCAAGCTTTGTGTACCCAGTTGCACTGGCACTTGTAGTCTTATTCGAACTGAAATAAAAGCAAATGGCAAGGGCTGAGGCTTTCAAGATAATATGATTTATCTTCTGGAAATCTACTATTTAGATGTCAAGCAAAACAATTTCACAATATATAGAAAAGATCTTGTCTGGCATTGCTGTATTTTTATTGGTCTTCGATGTAACTTGAAAATATTAGGCCATATTATGGTGTTCAATTTTCTATAGATTTTTCAGACGGACTGATAACACAATGGAAAAAATGTCTGTAATTAGACATAATTCCCAAAGCTGAGGGACTTTGGAGAAAGCCACACAGCAAGCTTTCTTTGCATGTACAACTTCAAAGTTCTTCCTAGATTCATGAACTACAGGAAGACTTGAAATCTTGAAGACTTGAAGCAGGGTGTCAGTAAACAATGAGAAAAAAATTCTGCCTTCATGTCTGAAGGAGACATTTTTCCCTTCTGAGAGAAGCTAAACCTGAAATGCTCACATCTGCAGGACAAAGTGGCCATAGCAAGGTTGGCCTTGCAAGCACCATCTCACACAGCCAGTGTAAGTGGCTTCAGTGCAGTTCTCCTTCTTGAGGAGTGCTTACAGAACAGGGGATTGCTCACAGTTTTTTCTGGTTCAGAGGCACTTTGAAAACTTTCAGGTAATCTTCAGGTGTGTTTCTTACAAGATATATCTACTAATGCAACATTAGTTGGCTCCAGTGGGAAAGGAATGAGAGAGGACCATCTATGGGTCAGCCCATAGATACCCCTAAAATAGGATGGCAAGTCTTAGCACAGGACCCCAGTTGTGCCAAGGCTTTGTGGTTTTGAGCATTTAAATGTGTTTTGTGCATTTTCTTGTTTTTCTGCTTGGTTTCCAGTCTTTGTACAAAAATGTTTCATCTTTAAAGCTGACAGAGTTTAACATTTGTCCTTGCAGTTAAAACAGCAACAAGAAAAACCTAACCAGCCCAAAAGGGAGGTTTTATAAAACTTTGTTGGAACAAAGATCATTTGAGTCATTCTCCTCTGATTCACCCACAGCTCATGTACAAGCAAGCCCCTTTCACAGAGGAATTAGGATGCACACAATTCCTAGTAAATTCAGCTGATGAGATGGCTCCACTGAGCCTCTCCATCACAGCAGTGACTCTTGCTGCCTGACCCCAGGACACATAGCTGATGCCAGCTGTGACCTAGCATAATTCTGCTCTGCACATGGGCTGCTACATGTCCAGGAGCTCATCAGGGATGAGTAGAGGGTTTATGAATGTTCGGGAGCTTGTTTCCAAAAAGCGTCTTGCTCAAAAGTCATAAAGAAGAAATTGGTCCTTACTAGAACCAATTAAAACTTTAGGCTGCTCCTCTTTCACTTCCTCTTGGAGGAAGGTGAAAGGCTTGTAGATTAGCAACAGTCTTCAGGACCTATGGGGAATCATAAAAGCAGTCTTATGTTTTCTGGCTGATACTTCTGCCATCCTGGTCCAACACTTGCAGTTATATTGATGTACATGACATTAAAGGGGACAAAAAGTTGCCCAGTTTTTGCCAGTTTTACTTTAATACTTTCTGCTGTGCTGGTCTAAAGATCTTCTGTGAATCCTATATAACTTTGTTACTGAATGGTTAAAGAGGCAGGACAGGGTGGCTCTGTCATCACTGCCAAATCTGCTTTTTTCCTGGAATGACATCATTTGGTGGTGGCCTCTTTCTTAGGATGATGTCTGCCCCTTTTTATATTTATTACACCCTATAGAACACCCTTCTTATAATAAGTCACATATTCTTAATAATATATAATTTCATAAAAATATAGTCTTTACTGAATGATGTTTGGTGGTCTGGGAAGTAGAGGTAAGTGAACTGCATTCCTCAAATGTTGCCTAGCAGGGCACATGTTCACTGGGGGATCATTTTTACTAACCTCTTACACAAACAAAAAATCTTCATTTAATTCAGATGCCTTTTATTATAGTTTGAAGTCACCAACAAAATAACAAAGAAATAAGAGAGCTCTCCATGCAAGAAAAAAGCCACAACACCCTGCCTCTAAGGATTTGCAGGGCCTTGGAAATATGCTTAATTTAAACAGAAGTCTAGAAGTACTCTTAATTCAACCCTAGAGCAAGTTAGCTCTGAAAGGGATTATCTTACTCTCTCTTTTCCTGGCCATGGGGTCCCACTGCCCCTTTTGGGCAGTTTCCATGCAGTGGGTTGGATTGGTGTGAGATGAAATCATTATTCCATAAGACCATTCACATTACAAAGCTGTACCCTGGGATTCCATCATTAAAACCCCCACAAGCCATCCTCTAAAAGCCCTGCATTTAACCATGCCAGAGTAGTGAAAGAAGGCATTTACACATTTTCCCCAAAGACCCAGTCCTTCCATCAGTCCTCAGAGCAGTTTGCTGACTAAATCTTCTATGTATTTAAATAATTTATTGTATGAATAAATACATTTATGCTGAGGGAAGAGGTTGACTGTTGGGATGCAGTAATGCCAACACAACAAAATTGAAGCTGGGGAGTTGGAGGAAATGAACCTGTAACAATGGTAAGTGGTATCGTCTGCTCAGGCAGCAAGAGACAGCTGTGACCGCATCTGAAATGCGAGTGTGGGGACACACAGAGCAACATCTAAAAAGGGCTTTAGAATTAGCAGAGCTGAGCAAAAAAGAACTTGCTGGTTTTGAGCTGCAAAAATATGGTTGTTATAAAATGACTGAAAATGAAATTGCAAGTTTTATGTGTCATTCCAAATTTTTCCGTTTGGAAAGTATATAAGGAACATTCCTGTGCCTTTTACTTTCCGCTGACATTTAAGAAACAGAAGTCTCAACTTCTGCCAAACAGTCTGTCACCCCAAGCCCTTGACCTGGGCAACAGATGAAGGCATGTTACAGATGCATGGAGCGCAAAGAGTGAAAATATTAAAAGCCAGGTCTCAAGTAGTGTAAGCTGGCTATGGTCCAGCTTATACCAGCTGCTGATCAGCTCCATAAAGATCTTACAGCAGTAACAGTTGGGGGAACGGTGGTTTGCATGCGGTGAGCACCGATGAGGGTTACCTAACTAGACGTGCTTTGCTTGCATTTGTGGACAGGAGATTGATTATATAGAGGATTTTTTAAAATCCCTCTTTCTTTAGCTGTTCTTCAAAGAAATCATTACATGCCACAGTCAAAGCAGCAACCAGAATGACAAATTCATTAAAATCCAATTCGTTGTCATCATTGGAGTCCAGATCTTTCATAATCTTATCGACCAGGAGTGGGTCCTTTTGGCCCTAAAGAGAAAGAAAATTGACTTAGCTGTGCAGATATTGAATGCGTAATTCTGACACACCCAGCAGTACAGCCCACTGCTATGTGATGAGGCTTGTGCTATTAAATAAAACACAGCATCAAATATGCACCTGAACAGTAAAACAGCATCAGAAACTGAAGACAGTGCAGCTCTTAGAAGGAATACAGGTACTAAATAGGCGCTGAAATGAATTAAACAGATTTTAGGAGATGCTGAACATGGATTCCTTTTGACAAAATAGATCTATAATGTGCATTTCTCTACCATCCTTTAACAAAAAGTACTTAGATTTTCAACAAGCTATTCCTAAGTGGTCATTTTATACATCCATTCATCACATTCAGAAGATCTCTTCTTGACAAAAAACACATCCTATTCAGGGGGAGTAAGAACATTGAATCTCAGGATAATAGCCAAGATTAAAAGAAAATTCAATTCAAGAAAACAGATATGATGTAAAGAAAAATCCTACTGGTGGTCATAGTGTCTACAATAATTTTACAATTAAGAGGATACATAAAAACATTATTATTAATGCTTTTGATTCCATAAAAGCATCCATACGTAATGTAAAACACAAATGTGCAAAGAGATATTCAGATTAGCAGCTTGTCACTGAAAGGCTTTTCTCAGCATCCCTCTGCAAGGCACACAAGCGGCTGTACTGTGTGGCCAGTGTGCACAAGCTACTTTCCTGTCTCGTGAGAACTGGTTGCTGTATTTAATTCTTCAAGGATTTATCTATGCCCTATTATTGAAAATGAAACAAACAAACAAACTAATTAAAGCCTTATTGAGCACTGATTTTGTTGCTGCTTCTAGGCTGGCCTCAACCTCCTGCTCAAAAGTGCTGAGGAACATGCAGAGCACGGCTACCCACCTCTGCTGCTGTTGGTACATGGCAAGGCACTGGGGCTCGACTACTCTCTGAAAACACACTTCTTAAATGGGACATTTGACCTCATATCCTTCTGTACAGCTCCAGGAAGAACTGCCATCTGAGAAGCTGTGGCAGGATGGGCCTTGCAGAAGGAGATGCTATCCCTACCCAAATACTTGGATAGCTGCTTATCCCACTCATGAAACAGTAATCCAGGAGGTTCAGAAGATGCATCTTACTGAAAGGAAGTCAGTGAGCTCACTGGTGAGAAGCTCCTTGAGTTCTCCTTTACTGAGCTTGTATCTGTCTCCTTCTTTGCCAGAGTAGTGATGGAAAATCTTGATCAAGGTGTCCATTGCATCCTTCAGTGGTGTAGTCATAGCAGTGAGTGGGAGAGCTGTGGGGCAAAGATACAGAGTCACTGACATTGCAGAGGAACCAAACCAAGTGCCAGTCTCTGGGAAGGAATGGAGGGCCAGCTAAAGAGAGAAATTGTTACCCAGACTGAAAAGCTGGGCTTTCAGTTGGTCCATCCCCTTATATGCATCTGAGCAAGGATGGACTGTAATAAAATAAAACATTGTCCTGAACTCACAATCAATTATTTCAAAAAGTTGATGGAAAGGAAGGTTTTTATTTCAGAAAGTGATCTACTGTGCATCTATTTTGCAAAGCTACTGTAAAGGGAAATCTTTTGCACCTATAAGTGAAAACATGGGGAAAATGAAGGCTTACCCCCTACCTGCTCATTTAAAAGTTTTCTCAAGAAAATGAGTTCAACAAATACCTGCAGCCAAAGTGAGTGTACATTGATAAAGAAAGCTCCACATCAGTTTAGAGATGGTTAGAGGAAGACCACCAGTAATAAAGATGAAAGTGTCAGCTTTCAATTTACTCTGTTGTTTGCTTGGGCTGACCCTTTTTCATGTAAATTGCCTGCAATATAAATAAATGTGAGCTGGGCACCGCAAGGTTTGCCTCATCGAGCATGCAGTCAGAAGGTACACAGAGAAGAAACACCAAGAAAAAAAAAGATGGAAATATAATTGCTTGCAGAGTATCTGACTTAAAAAGTAACTAAAAGTAGAAATCAGGTATAAGGGAAACACTGTTGATTAGGCCCCAGGAGAAAGTTAAAAAAGCGAGAATGCACTTCAAAGTAAGACTGGAGTCCTGAACAATAACACTGTGCAAAGGCTAAGACTTACCTGCTCTACAGCCTAGCTGAGGTGTATGCAAGAAAATACTCAGATCACAGAAGGTGGTGGTCACTTTCCTTTCAAAATGCATGCACAGGCTCTTGTTTATCAGGCTGAAAGGGTAGATTACACAAATAGAGACAGACGTATAATTGTCACAGGATGGTGGGTCTTCTGTTTCCACGTGCATTTGCCTACTCTCTTCAATAAAAGCCTTTTGCTGTAACTGGGTCACTAAAATATGCACTAGGTAGATCAGAGAGGTGTGTTTGGAATGTAGGAGATATTTTTTAACATATGACCTTTCACAAATATGCCCATTCAGGGGCCTAAAGGTCAAAATTAGAAAATGTTAACAATCACCAAGTCAGTATAAAATAACTTCCCATAATTTTCAAAAGAACACTTTCTAATCTGTCATTCAATACTTTTACAGTCTAAGTACCACATATCCCTTGAGACATCTACCTTAATTGTCAGATATCTCCGTAAGCCTAAAACATTGCCTCTTTCTGAATGAAATTCGTGCTGTATCCTCAGGAGAAAATGAGGGAACCGGTTTCAGAGGAAGGTGTCCCTGGAATTCCACTGTGCCCTGATCAACAGGCTTAGCTTTATTTTTATAGTTCTGCACAACAACTGCAGTTCAGCATCTCTCTCTGAATAAACGACCTTGCCACCAGAGGGCTTTGTCTGTCTCAACCCCAGGGACTCATTGACCCTGGGATTGATGGTTGGGGGATGCAGGAAACAGCAGCTTCCCCATGGTGGGTCCTACTTATCACCCAAGATACCAGATAACCACAGTTTTCATGACAGACACATGTAATGTAAAACTGCTTGCGCTGGGTTTGGTTTCCCTCAGCAAAGCCTTCTTCTACCTGTTGCACACACATGTCCAGGAAGCACAACTGTCCAGATGAACAGGGCACAGAGTTGCAACTCATTCTCTGTTTCATTCCAGCCAGAGGGAAAGACAATGAGGTGGGCTCTTGTCTTGGCCTCTGGGAAAAAAGGGAGGGAAGAAGGGAGCCAGGCACATAAAAATACTGGATTCCAGTGATATGGGAAGTGACCATGTGTAAAGTGTTATTTTTGAAACAGGCAGGCTGTTCTGTCTGGAGCTGCCTGCAGACGCACACAGTGCTGTGCACAGGGCAGACACCTTCACTCTCCATTGCTGTGGTTGTGAGTGCTCACCAGGGAAGGGGAGATCCAGTGCCCAGGTACATTTTAGAAATGGTCCAGGTGCAAACGAGAGGAACAAGAGGAACCAAATCTCTCCCTGAGTCAGAGGAGAGTTGGGGAGGAGAGCTGCTTTCCATACCTCTCCTGTATTTGACAATAGCTCATGGGTGCTTGGTTTTGTGTAGGGAAGTCCCTATGCTACAGTAAGCACTGGGACCTAGCTGGACCATATGCAGCACGTGGGAGAAGAACATTGGTGATATCAGGCACAGCACATTTCTTCCACTCAGTCCGGGGAATTCTCTGTATCTGCAGATGCAGAAGAAAAAGCATGGAGCCCTGCATGTAGCTACAGCCACAGGGTCCTGTCTTGCCTGTGATTCACTAAGGCTTGTAACTATTGTTCAGAAATATTAACCAGATAAAGATAAAAATCCTTGGTTTGGGGTTTGGGTGTGGTGTTTTTTGTTTTGTTTTGTTCCCCTCCTTCCCCCATTTATCCAACAACAGTTTCACCCACAAAGAGAAAAAAACCCACAGCTGAGTTAATACATAAGTCTGAAATCCTTCTGTTTGTCTATATATTATTACACTGATCCTCTGGTTAATGAATATTGCAAATTAATTATCTAAGCAGAGTCTACAGGAGGTACAACTTCCAGGAAGTGGGTGTAAACTTTCAGAGCTGCCATCCTCAGGACAGAAGAAAGAAAGACATCAGCTTAATAATTTATACAGTGATATAATATGTGCAGTCTCTTTCAATAGCTCCTTTCACTCCAGCTAATTGTGTAAGAAACTTTCTTTTCCACACTAGTTGATGACATGTGCACAGTGAACAGCTGCACTGAGCTGCACTTGTTTGTTAAGAGGTCCATGCCATTTACTGTGTCCAGTCCTTTCCTCTCTGGCTAGTGAAATCCTGCCAGTGGCTCGAGTGACAGCAGAGGTCTCACAGCTTCTGTGAAGGCAAGTCCAAGTGCCTACTCAAAATTCATGATTATCAGTCAACTGTTTTTAATCCCTCATCTGACATTCCAGCAAAATCTGGTTTACTAGGATAGCTAATGGGCACTGGAGATAAATAAAGTCAGACTGTGAAGCAGTTCTGTACCAGGCTAAGACCTGACTTCATGTCACCAATCACCATTCCCTCATCAATCCTCACCCTGCACTCTGTTTTCCATCAGACTAAACACAGGAGCAGCACCAGGTGTGTGGCTGAGAGAGAGAGTGGAACTGCAGCATGGGCGGAGACATGGTGAAGATCAGTGCCTTCCTCATTCATGATCAAACTTTGTCCTTCACAACCTGCCAGATCACACAGTGCTGGTGAGAAGGCACATCTGACATGCCTAGTCCCACTGCCTGCTCAAAAGTGGATGATCTCCAGCATCAGTAGGCAGCCACAGCTTTGTTTAGTTAAATTCTGAAAACCTCCCAGAAAAGAGATTTAACAATGGCTTCAAACTGACAGTGTTGGTTTAGATTAGATATAAGGAAGAAATTCTTTACTGTGAGGATGGTGACACTAGAGCAGGTTGCCCAAAGAAGGTGTGGCTGCCCCATCCCTTGAAGTGTTCAAGGCCAGGTGAATGGGGCTCTGAGCAACATGGCTAGTGAAAGGTGTCCCTGGCCATGGCAGGGACAGATAGATGATCTTTAAGGTCCCTTCCAAACCAAACCTTTCTATGATTCCACTGGAGAATGCTGAGAGAGGCGGAGGTTGTTCCTTGCCCTGTAAATCTGAGAAAGGACCCAACCAACAGTGACTGCTTCCTTTAATTTTAGATGGGGTAATGTAAACGTGCACTCAGCTGGGAGGCTCTATGGGACTGCTTTTCCCCTCCTGCGTGGAGACGGGGCAGTCAGACCACAGGCAGAAAATCTTACTGGTGGTCTCTGCTCCCCAGAAAAATTAGCAGAGTTCTGCCTTGTGTGAAATCAGTCAATCATTGATATAGGTCAGCAGTCTTCTTCCTCCACAGCTGGGAAGGAGAAGCTTTGGCTTGTTCACCAGGATTTTTCCATGATATCTTCTTGGGACAACATGACACAAACTGCCTTTAAGCCAGAGCAGTTTATAAAGTGCCATTCTAAGCCACAGTAAAATACTAGTCAGCTTAAGTGTGAGAATCTTGTACTTGGGGCATCTGGCTTTCAACATTTGCCAGAATGCATATGGGGAATATTTTCTCACAAGTAATTATTGTGCTGGGGAAGGCAAGTCGGCCTCCCACCTATATCCTATCATTATTTATTTTTCCCAAACTCACACTTGTGTTCTTTGTTCCCTTCCTCCCCCAAGAACATATGTTCTTGGTATGAACATATTTTGAATCAATATTGTACCCTCAAAGTGGGAAAAGGTGGAATGGGAAGTAACAAAGAACACTGCAAGGCTCAGAAGGATGTTTATACTACGCACTAAAAAGCCTGTGATAGATCAGACCCTAGATCAGACCGAAGAGTGTATTAAATAGGTTAAGGAGTTTATAAGAGACTTACCTTTGAACCAGCATTTCTTGTTAAATTATAATGTGTACTGTCACATTTTTAGGATTGTTAGCATTTTCATTAGTGGTTTGTTTCCATATCTGGGTGGCTGATTGATTTATTCATTTATATCAGGTATGTCTCTCTCAGGTTCTGGTTCACATCTTCAAGACTGTTTTAACTGCTGTGATCCCACAGAAAGCAGAATAGCAAAGAACTGTTAAATCTCTTGCTAATAGCTTTTATCACACAAATTTGGTGGTTTATTCCGTAGGCATCTTTTTAATGGGTTACACTTCAAAGGCTGCCCAACTAAAGCATATCCTGATATTCTCTGCTGAGTGCTGAGTTTTGGACAAGCTTATACATTTCTTTTCCAAATACATAACTTACTTTTTCACTGAACCATCCAGATCACTGAACTCTGTTCCCGTAGCGGTCATTTCTCTTGTGATACCCACTTGGCATTGTCTGTACTTGAGGTACTGACTCCAGTTACCACCTAC